TCCTACCTCCAGAAAGACTGGGGAGTTGGCAAGGCATGACCGCCTTTGGGCTGACCCCCAGGCCTCGGCCTCCAGTCCCTGACCCACACCAAGCCCCCTTTTAGGACTGCAAGCCCAGGGAGGAGGAGGGTCAGATGAAGCCGAGGGGCTCCCCTGGGCAGGCCACAGCTGCTCCCTCCAAGGGCTCCTTCTCCAAGGGGGCCGTTCAGTTGGGGGCCTGCAATGGCCATCTGGGGCTTCTCTGCCCTCCAGCATAAGGGGGGCAACTGGGTGGCTCTCCGACCACTGGACAAAGGACCCAGCTCCAGCCTTCTGGGGGCTCCTTCTCAGCTGGCCAAGCAATGGGGGGGAGCCCTGGGTGAAGGACCCCCCCCCCACGGAGCCCCTCAGACTGCAACCCCCTGGCCAGGGAGGGTCTCTGGTGACCCTGCAATCCCTCAGAGTCTCCCCCGTGAGCTTGAGAGAAGCACCCTGATCTTGGAGAGAGGAGCAGACGTCTCCCCTTCTGCTGAGGATCAGAAATTCAGGGATGGAGGGAACTGATTAATGGGGTCTGACCCGGAGGGAATTTGGAGCTGAGACCAGACTATTCAGACACCATCAACTCACATCATTCCAGGGTTTTCCTACAGTCCAATTTATTGTTTTATAACAAACAAAAGCCAAAGAGGAGAACAGCAAGAAGATGAAGCTCCTGTGCATTCAACGCAGGGAGAGACGGAGAGACGGGGTGGGGTGGGGGATCCAAGCAAGGGAAAAGAGGTTGGAGCTGTGCTGGGCAGTGAGCAGTTGATCTATGAGATCAGTTCTCAGGAAATGGGGATCCCAGGGTGGCCAGTACACATGGAGCATCTGGATCTCTCTGGATCTGGCGGCCTTCAGGTCTGGCCAAGTGACAGATGGATTTTGGGTTAAGGTGGGTGGGTTGTAGCCATTGGTCTGAACGGGGGTCTGTGCTGAGAAGGAGACACTGGGGGGGGTCTGGAGGGACCGGCAGGCCAAGAGTTCCTGGGGACAGACTAGATGGTCTCCACCCCCTCCCCATTTCCCCCTCCCTCAGAAGAAAGAGAAGCTGTGAAAGGAGCTGGTGGGTCTCGGCAGCAGAAGGGCCAGGCTGTGATTCTCCTCCTCTCGCAAAAAAGGCAGAAATTCATCAGGTATTGAA